CCACCATTCCTAACCCTAGAATCACCACCAGATCTTCCATCAGATGTAGACGTTCACTCAACCTATCCCTAAAGAGACCCCACAGCTACAAAGGTAAAGACGAGAAGGATTTATGGTACCTACCAGCAGCCAGGGCAAAGACCCTGGTTATTGGATCCTCAAACCTGGCTAGGATTGTAATCTTCCATCGGGGACTGGTAGATCCATAGCTATTCTGGAGCCAAGATCAGCCACATCAAACAGATCCTCCAGAACTACATGGGACCTGCACCAGCAGAATTAGTGATACATGTCGGGCTCAACAACAGGGAGGAAAGTGGACCATCGATACACACGCAGATGCTAGATCTACTCAAAGTGACCAGAGCAGCTTTCCCAACAACCAAGCTCTTCACCAATCAAATCCCCACTTCTTCCCGACTACGACAAGAAAATCCAGCTACAACCAATTGATTTCCACTGCACCTTCACCAAACGCCACCACACTACCAAACTTCCATGGCAAAATTGAACTGAAAGATAACGACGCCATCCACTGGAGCCCGGACACGGCCAGAGAGATCATCAACTGCTGGATGAGGAATTTGATCTAGGATTAGGGAAAAGAAATGCGAAGCCGTCTTTAGGAGAGGCGGTTGTCAATTTGAGCGACAGACTTCTCAGCCCCCTACAAATGAACATTCTTGACAGAGGCCTTAAATTCATCTCAACCCCCACATTAACATCCATAGACCTCATCACCCAGGCAACCGATCGCTTCCAAAGGACCCTTTCGCTAACTTATTTTTTTAGGAACAAACCCGGCAGAGGTAAAAAAAAACATTCACAGAAAAATCCACATGAAAACCACCTAAAAAGTCTTTATCACCGATCATCTTAAAAACTTTCGACGAAATGAACACAGAAATATCATCCCGTCAACCACAATCACAGAAACAAAATCTCAACAAAAACAGCATTGAACACCCTCAAAAATAACAAAAACATAATAATCAAGTAAAGCGACAAAGGTTCGTGTTGTGTCATAATGAATCGCGCAGACAGAGGCAGAAAAACAACTAAATAATCATAAACATTACACTAAATTAGACCAACCCATCTTTAAGGACACTACAACCTTAATAAACAACATCTTACATGAATTGCAAGACAAGGAATACATAACAGCAAAACAATATGATTATCTATCCGCTAAATCTGACTGTCGGCATTGACATCTCTATACGCTACCAAAAATACATAAAAATCCAGAAACGGAATGGTTTATACCTAATAAAATACCCAAGGGGCGCCCAATAATATCAGACTGTGGCAGCGAATCATACAACGTATCACAATGCTCCTAGCATGCCAACACCAATCCTACCTTAAAGACACTTAACGATTTCATTCATAAAATCAAACAGTTAAGAGTACCTGAGCACACCATTTTAATATCAATCGACGTAAAGAGCACGTTCACAAACATTGATAATAACACAGGTATTGAAGCAGTTAGGAAAGCATTTCTTAGTAACCCGCAAGCATCCAGACCGGACGAAGAAATCCTCAAATTACTCGACATTTGTCTGAGGAGGAATGACTTTGCTTTCAACGACCAAGTATACCTCCAGTCTTCCGCAACTGCGATGGGAAAACGATTTGCCCCGAGTTATGCAAATCTCTTCATGGCGGAAAGGGAAGGTCTGCCGCTCTGCCCATTAAAACCAGATTTCTATGGGCGTTTTCTAGATGACGTTTTCATAGTCTGGACGTACACGCTAGACGAATTTTGGACGTCTTTCAACATTTTGAACAATTATCATCCATCTGTCAAGTTAACCTCAAATGTAAGTCATAACAGCATAGATTTCCTTGACACTACCGTTTGTAAGAGTAGCAACACCAAAATCACAGGCCAACTGGAAACTAAAGTATTTTTTCAAAGAAACCGACACACATCAATTATTGTTCAAAAGCTCCTTTCACCCAAAACATACGTTCTCTGGCATCATAAAATCTCAGATTCTCCGTTTTCATAGGATACGTACTCAGAAGACCGACTTTGAGTCAGCGTGTACATTGGTATTAAGCAAACTAAGGGAAATAGGATACTCCAAACGATATCTCCGACGTATAAAAACAAATAATATGCAATCAGCAGTCAAAACCAAAATTTGTGGCCACCCAAGATGTCAAACATGCAAAATCATAAATATATCCGACCATTTCCACAACAAAACATCTGGCACAAAATTCCCAATATTAGATCACCTTTCATGCAGTAGTTCAAACATAATCTATCTAATATCATGCAGACAGTTTTACAAGCAATACGTAGGTGAGCCCCAAAATGCACTTCGGGAAAGAATTAACGGTCACCGGTCAGACATAGTCACTCAAAAAGACAAACCGGTTTCAAATCACTTCAACCAACTAAATCATGACATTTCTGATCTCATTATCACACCAATAGAAAAGGCTATGAGCGGTTTTGAAACTACAGAAGAAATTAAAACGTTTAGGCTAACAAGAGAAAAATTCTGGATTGACAAATTGAAAACAATAGCCCCCCTAGGATTGAATATTCATACGGCTAGCACAATAGCCCCTTTTGTAGTTCCATTTCGCGCAACAGCAGCAAGTGCATCCAAAATCATCAGAAAACACTATACTGATCTCCAAGAAAATCACCCGAAAATTTTCACACAGAAACTTATAATTGCATATTCTAAAAATAAAAATATGAACGACATCCTAGTGCACAGTAAATTAGATTAAATAAGACCAGTCTCCATCCTCATCCAAAACAAACCATATATCAAATCCTATCCCTAACCGTTAGTAAATAAAATCAACTAGATATAAGAATCCCTAGCCCTTTCTTTTAAATCCAATTTTTAGTAGGAAACACACTAATGTGGCTCTCACCCGAGAGCCCCAAATTTACTCTTCTTTTCTTCAGAAACAAAAATACCAGAATACCAAAAGCACCATCCAAGGAAGATCATCATCGCCACCAACACCAAAAAACAGTTAAATACCTTTGTATATAAACCTAATGTATTATATGTACTTTAATAAAACTAGGAAATATCACGAACTAATTTTTCATCACCCTAGGTCAGTGCTTATGTGGAGACTTGACCTCTCCCCCAAATTCTTAAACCTAACCCTAACTCCCCGCAAACGGAGGACCGGGCTCTGGATTACCTATTGAGGGTTTTTTCCGTTATTAGGGTGTCTTCCGGTATTTAGTGTTTTCCGGTATTCATTATAACAAGGTGTTTTCCGTTAGTTTTCCCGTGTTGTTCCAATTATAAGAAAAAAATATATAAAACGATCTAACTCTCAGCTAAACGTATAGGTACAATTATTAGAGAAAAAACACTAAAAATTAAAATTTTGGCTAGTACTTTCATCGTTATCAAACGAATCGTCAGGCCACTTTAATGCGTTACTATGCTGTTACAATAACGTTACGTCATAACAGAGGGCAATGAGTATGTGAAATATAAAAATTAAAACGAAATAACATTAATTATCAGATATTTCGGTACCCCGTGTATCCAAGTGTGGGGATCTACGATGTATGACATGTTCCGATATATTAGCAGGAACATTTGTCGCAATTACTAAAGATATTAAATTCTATGTTAAACAAAATATGAATTGCAAATCGAAGTATGTAATCAGATATTTCGGTACTGGCTCTGTCTGACACTGTATTTATCATTTCGAAAATTACGGATTTACTAATGGGCCCAGCTATATCATCAAGATCTGCCAAAATTTCATTTAAAGTTGTAAGAGTAGTTTGCGCAGAATTATCAGCCATATTTCGAAGATTAATAATAATTGGCGTTTGATTCAAGTCAGCGGTTAATGCATATGTACCGAATTTGGAGCCTAAATTTGTAGTTTCGCCCGTACGTGCTCCCAGTGTGCCCGGAATTCGTGCTTGCACAGTCAATTTTAGCTGTTAAATTTGGTTGCATGGGTCACCCTACTTTAGAGCACTTTTTGTTTAGAGGGGAGCGGCCATTTTGTCTGGAAACGTAGTCCGATTTTCCAAAATTCGAACTCAGCTGCAATTTAGTGTAATGGTGATAGGTATGTACGTTTTTCAAAAATCAAATACAATAAGGGGTCATTATCCAAGAAGTTACAGTTCGATATGCGCTTATATCAAAAGGAACCATAATCTATGTCATTCATCAAAATCGGACATACCTATCTAAGTACAAGAAGCTGCCCCTATCCCCCCTAACTTTAGGGCAATCTGACTTTTCGGGCGGACAGGTAAAGTGAAAACAAAAATTATTATTTCATCTAATTAGCAAAATAAAGTGTCCGAAATATAATAAAACACTAATTTTACTTATCTTTTAAATGACTTTCACAAATTTGTACTAAACTGAATATGGCTTAAAATATTTTTTCTTGGGTCACTCTACTTTTTGCGACATTTTTCGCGATTCGATTATTATTTGTGAATGCAGCTGCAACAGTGATTGGATGGTTGCAGTTTAGGTTGCTTGACTCACGGGCTAGAATAGCAGAAAAATGCATTTACGGCGGTTAATTTCAACATTTTCTCGGGGAGGGCGAGATTGGTTGTTGGGGAATCAGGTCAGTCACCAAAGGTAGGCTATATTGACCACCTTGAAGTTGCTGTATTAACGGATTGGAATAGCAGGAAAACGCGTTTGCGGCAGTTAAATTTTTCTGATGACGGTCCCGTCTCGGTGGAATGTGAACAATTGATTGGATTGAAATGCGAGTCAATCATCTAAGTTAGATCACCTTGAAGTTGCTATATTCGAGGGTTGGAATTGCAGGAAAGTGCGTTTGCGGTCGTCAATAAAGCGAAACGATTATCTACATATGTATGAGATGTACGTTAGTGCTCGAAATTTATGTTTTACCAATCAAACCACCCGAGCTACTAGTACTAGACGTTGTTTTTCTCCCGAGGTCCCCGTCCTACTCCAAGACTAATAGAAGTATTAAATACTTACCATTTGGTAGTTACAGGCAATTCTAAATTCTAACAACTAAAAGATAATTTCTATTCAATATAAAGCTGTCAAGGTTTCTGATCTGCCTAAGCCAACTTATAAGTTTATAATTCTGATCTGTGGGCATATAAAATACCCACAAAATACAGGTGAACAGACGAGCGGATAGTCATATTGACGACAAAAATACTATGTGGGCGTATGAATATAATTCAATTCAAGAGCTGTCACTGTGATATTTTCAAGGGGAAATTATTAAAAGACGAATTCTCCAGAATTAGTCGTTTAGTGAGTCATCTCCCTTTCAAATGCAAATAAAAGAAATACCACAGAAACTATTTCAAATAATACAATAGAAAACATTATCAACCATTTTCATACAAAGATGTTATTATATTACCGTGAAAAGATGGGGTTCTGATATCCAATAGTTAAGGCAAAATGAAAATTTTAAAATTGGCACACGAATCGCGTGCAAGAAGGAAATGAAATGAAATGGGGTTTAACGTCCTACCGTTATGCTACGAACTTGGCTAATGAAGGCGGGCATACGCTATACAGTGTGCTATGAGGGAAATTTTGCCCGGACAGCGGCACTATGGCCTACTCTTATATCGAATTCCAACTGTCAAGGGATCTTTTACGTGCACGCCAATATGTACACGGGACCTCGGTTTTTCGTCCCATCCGAACGACTAGACAGCTGTCCTTGTCAGGCCCTCCGTCCTGCATCACTGACAAGGGGAACCACACCGGAAAATCGGGATGAACTTTCTCGGCCAATGCAGGGATCGAACACCCGACCTCCAGGCTAGCGAGCGTCTTACCCACTTGGTCACCGTGATCCCCCGTGCAAAAGGCACATACTCAACAGGAGAATACTATCGGTGTAGACTGGAATAACCAAACGTCAATTTGAACATAACTGATCAGAAATTAGGGTAACAACAGGAACGACTGATTGTAAATCAGTCTATATACATTCATAATACATTACATGTAAGAGTAGTTTGCGCAGAATTATCAGCCATATTTCGAAGATCAATAATAATTGGCGTTTGATTCAAGTCAGCGGTTAATGCATATGTACCGAATTTTGAGCCTAAATTTGTAGTTTCGCCCGTACGTGCTCCGAGTACGTGCTCCCAGTGTGCCCGAAATTCGTTTTTGGACAGACAATTTTAGCGGATAAATTTGGTTGCATGGGTCACCCTACTTTAGCACTTTTTTTTTAGAGGGGAGCGGCCATTTTGTCGGGAAACGTAGTCCGATTTTTCGAAATTCGAACTCAGCTGCAATTTAGTGTAATGGTGATATGTATGTACGTTTTTCAAAAATCAAATACAATAAGGCGTCATTATCCAAGAAGTTACAGTTCAATATGCGCTTATATCGAAAGGAACCGTAATCTTCATCGGATAAACGTTTTGACATACTTTTACACTATCTAAGTACAAGAAGCTGCCCCTATCCCCCCTAACTTTTTGCACTGCGACCCATTTGTGTCTATTTCTAGGTGCCAAATATTAGTGATTTAGCTCCTTTAATATGGTCGTATATAGTCATCATCACTGTTTGCCCATCTGTACGTTCACTATACGTACACTCAAATGTACAATAGACTGGAGGCTCAGTGCGGGGGGAGGGGGCGGTTGTGTCCAACAAATGGGCACAAAACCAGACTGAACCTTTCTATAGTAAAATTCTACACCAAAAGATGCTGTAGAGAAGTTAGGTCTGGCTTTGTGCATATTTGGTGGATACGCCCCCACCCCACACCGCACTGAGCCTCCAGACTACAATCTGGTTGTTAAGTACAGCATTTTTCACCCTCGCCCTCTACCAAAAAATGCTCGATTGTCGCGTCTTACCTTCGCATTTTCGTCTTGTTCTTTGCGCCTAGTCAGCTTGGTCTTTTCGGTAAGATGTTGAATTCGGATCGTTACGTTCTGGTTTGAATTCGCGCATGCCAGCAAATTGCTTACAAGTACTGGATTAACCATTAGGTAAGTATTACGTAAACAAGGCACGTGCCTTAAGGTCAGCCAAATATCCATTAAAAGTAAAAAAGAAAATTGTAATCTAGCTACTGTAATCTTATAGTAAAATACAGTACTGTACACAAATTGGTTCTGATTTTTTTGTAATTTAACTTTCTTCCTTTTATTGGGGTGAACCAAAATGTCTGCATTTGCAGACCACGTATTAAATTGTGCCTTAGGGCCAATTGAGCGGCAATCCTATACTGACTGCCTGTAGCCTAATAGTAGCATGTTTTATTAATGGAGAATGTTTAGTATTATTTTATCACAACTAGAACCAATTGCACCCAATGGCCGATTGTGGCTGGTATCCAATTTTCTCTTGATTTCGGCTTCGATTTAAAAAAAGGTGGGAGTTTGCATTCGATTATAATCACAATTCCCCCCAATTAAGCCCCGCATTAAAATTGTCAGGAACGACTGGGAGGCCCTGGGCCCTGTAAGACTATTGTAGAATTTCTGCTCTATATATTAATGATAGCATTATATTATATCGTTAGTAAGTATTTTAGTTAACATATTCTATAGAAGTCGTATCTAATGCACTCAAAGAATGAGTGGCAGATTGTTATATAAAAATAGTTATAATTTAGTAAACATTCAGTTCTAGATTGATAACAGATAAATTGTGTGAAATTTCTACTGTAAGTTTTCCAATATCCATATAAGTGTGGGTTTCGACGACGTTGGGCTAATTCTTTAGGTCATATTTGACTAATTACAGAATTGAACGTCCAAAACCCAAAGCTACAAGACCATCATATCTTTGAACATACGCTAGACAGCCGTTTTGATTCCAGAAGGAAAAGATGTAGCAATCTCTATCAGCAGGCTGGGCCCAGCGAGGCTGACTGAATGGGATTTTGGAGATGACAGTATGACTTTATTGTATTATGCATTGTATTCTTATATGTATCCAGCTATAATATACACAACGCAAAGGGGAAGCCAAAGACGACAAGTGAAAATATTAGACGATCACAAGGGCTGTACCAGAATATGAAGTAAGACACAATACATGGGTTATACGCCGGATTGAGTAGTCCGTTCTCCACGTCTGACAAATGACCCATGGTAATACAGCCATTGGACCGATTGGTTTCGTTGGGCCCCATCGCAATGAAGAATACGTAATATGACGAGAAAACTAGTTTGATTCACTATTGAGGCAATTATTTTTTACAGTGGATAGGCTGATGAAATTTTAGTTATTTTCAAAAAAAATATGCGTAGTACCTGGAACAAAAACTGCCTGCGTTTGGCACAAATTTACATGAAATCGATTTTAGCATGTATATCAGAACCACGCCGCAAGTGCCTTAAGTTTAGTCTATCTACCCCCTTCCGACGCCCCAGTACGCCTCTGAAGGTGTGAAGGATTAAAGAATAGGAGCAGATGTTTATTCCCACGCTTTTCAATACGTTACCCTATTTAACTGTACAGGTATTTTTAATCATTATTCAGGTGAAGCTACAGGTATGTGTAGAAACCTGTTTATAACAGATGAGGACAATAGTTGAAATAAGATGTTAACTAAAATCATCTTGATAATATCTGAGACATACATGTAATTGATATCTACGTGTCGATAGTACACCACGGCATGGCCATAGTATAATAGGTCTGCCAAAAAAAACCCCCAAAAATTATAAGCAATGAAACGGATTGTGCATTACAGAATAATTATTAAAACTTGGCATACTACCAAATTGAAATGAATATGTTTATATAAATAAAATATAAATAGAGTTTCTAGAACGATTGAACAATGGACAAGGCAGTTTTGCTTGCTCGGTAACTGTATATGGGTTGTATTCCTGATTGTTTTCAAGTTTGACCCGGGACTGTACAGCGCAGTGGACGCTTATGGCTAGCCCCCGGATCCATTCACTTTTTTTTAATTGTCTGTCTGTTTGCGTTTTCCGGAGTATGATGTCTTGTCCGTGTATTTGTTTTTGTGTAAATTTTGTGTGGTGCTGTCCCCCTGCACTTACTAATAGAGATCACCGATGATATGATAAATAACATGATATAATAGATAACGCCCATACTGAATAACAATTTGTTGTTTTGTTGTGAATAGATATGTTTGAATACAAACTTTATCATGTTACAACTAGTGGTGTTTCGTGTGTACAGGTAAGTATGGAAGCCTAAAACTACCATTCATAATTTCTACTTTTCGCCTCTTCAGAACACGAAAGTCGAAAAGTAGAAGTTACGACAAAATGTGAGGCGACAAGACGGTATATAAGCCAAAATCAACTCGAAAATAGGAAATTAAGAAATAACACACCGCGATAATAGCGCCCCCCGTTTTTTCTTAATTTCTACTTTTTGACTTGCATTTTGGCTTGTATACCGTCTTGTCGACTTTCGACTTAGTCATATTTTTGTATTTATTGATGTCAGTAAGAAGGCGCCAACACGCTATACAAGCCAAAATGCAACTCGAAAAGTAGAAATTAGGAAATTAACACACTGCGCTATTAGCGACCTATGATCTGTCGTACTGTCGACTTTTCTACTTTTCGCCTAGGAAGTTATTGCAGTCTCTGTCTTCCAGGTCACATTTGAATACGCGCAATTCCCTTTGACAAAAATGTCTGTGTGATAGAGTCTAGTTGGTAAATGCTGAGCGAGACCGATTTTTACGATTCTGACGAGCGAGGCAGATGTAAGCCCCGCCTCTTTCTTGTTTAAGTCGCTCCCATTTTATTTGAAGGTCGAGTTTAGAAAGGACTATTTATTGTTAATAATAATTGTTATCAATACATTACAAGCTTTCTATTTGTTAATCCTTTGTAATTGTTTATCCATATTATTACTTCTCTCATCTTGTTTGTAATTATTGATTAATCTGTTACATGGTTTCCAATTGTTAACTATATATTGCACCACATTTTTGTTATAAATCATTATTTGCTTGATAACGATATCTGTATGTGTATCGAAACGTAGCATGTTAATAAATTCAGAAGTAGTATATCCATATAAGTGTTTTTAATTTGTGAAATCTACGTCTATGTCTTATAAGGATTATTACTAAAGTCTGTTCGACAAAAATCATAGTCTCGATTATCCACTTACTCGTTAAATCGAGAAGGAAAGTTATGCAGCAAATCGGATAATAATCCAACAAATATCACAGGCTAGCGTTGATTATAGTCTGGATACTTTAATCAATGTCTAATTAATAGTTTATATAACATTTCAGGCCCAAAGGAAGACAGAATATGCAAATTTAGCTCTTGCATAATGCATGTTTAATTTATATAATACATAGAAATATTTTATAACCTTTCAAAATTAAGAAAAAGTCCCAGCGAGGCCGATTAGGCTCTATACGCGGTATTGGATGATGCATTTCCGTGTTCCTGGGATATATAAGATAGTGTGCGTAATATACGTAACACATTAGAAAGAAATATCATTATTTTATGGAAATCAATTGAAAAAATATCCGCAAATCTTTTAATCGTATAAGAAAAGGGCTGACTGCTAAGCGAGGCCGGTTGTCTACTTCATGTGGTATAGTGCGATGAATTCCGCTATTTCTGTGATATTATTCTTAATTTATATAATACAATCACTTAAATATAATTTTTCTATGAAATTTAATTCATAGAAATACTTTATAATCTTTCAAAACTTAAGAAAAAGTCCCACTGATAAGCGAGGCCGATTGTATACTTCATGTTGTATAATGCGATGAATTCTGCTATTTCTGTGATATACATGATATTATTCTTAATTTATATAATACAATCACTTAAATATAATTTTTCTATGAAAATTAATTCATAGAAATACTTCATAATCTTTCAAAGTTAAGAAAAGGTCCCACTGCTAAGCGAGGCCGATTGTATACTTCATATGGTATAGTGCAACGAATTCCGCTATTTCTGTGATATATATATAAGATACAATTCTTAATTTATAAAATGCAATCACTTAAATATTGTTTTCTTTCTATGAAAATTAATTCATAGAAATACTTTATAATCTTTCAAAATTAAGAAAAAGTCCCACTGCTAAGCGAGGCCGATTTTATACTTCATGCATAGCGAGGCCGATTAGGCTCTATACGCGATATTTGGTGATGAATTTCCGTGTTTCTGGGATATATAATATAATGTCCTTAATATACGTAAAACGCTCGAAAGAAATATGATTATTTTATCAAAATCAATTGAAAACATATCCCCCAAATCTTTTAAACATAAGAAAAAGTCCCACTGCTAAGCGAGGCCAATTGTGTACTTCATATGGTATAGTGCGATGAATTCCGCTATTTCTGTGATATTATTCTTAATTTATATAATACAATCACTTAAATATAATTTTGCTATGAAATTTAATTCATAGAAATACTTTATAATCTTCCAAAATTAAGAAAAAGTCCAACTGCTAAGCGAGGCCGATTGTATATTTCATGCATAGCGAGGCCGATTAGGCTCTATACGCGATATTGGATGATAAATTTCCGTGTTTCTGGGATATAATATAGTATACTGTCCTTAATATACGTATTTAACGTTCGAAAGAAATATGATTATTTTATCAAAATCAATTGAAAAAATATCCCCCAAATCTTTTAAACAAAAGAAAAAGTCTGACTGCATTGCGAGGCCCATTGGGGGTTCTATATGTAGTACAGTGCGATGGAATTTACTATTTCTGAGATATATAAAATAAAAGTTAGAGAGAGAGAGAGTGGGTGGGTGGGGGGATTTAACGATTTAGTGGAATATCGAACATCTCATTTTTGCAACTACGATACAGCGAGCCTGTTTAGATTCTTTGTGAGATAGGGCGATGGGTTTGCCTACTAGATATAAGATAATATTCATCATTTATATTAACATTCAAGTATGGAAATTAATGGAGAAAATTTTTACAAGATATAAACATAAGAAACGGGTGCAGGGAGATCCAAACTCTCATTTTAACCACAACTAAAAGTAATATCAAGGCCGTATATCGAACTGTCAATCAAATTGACTGACATACGGCCTCGCTCAGCAGCGGTCTCGCTCAGCACGCTTTTTCATTTACCAACTAGACTCTATCACACAGACATTTTTGTTAAAGGGAATTGCGCGTATTCAAATGTGACCTGGAAGACAGAGACTACAATAACTTCCTAGGCGAAAAGTAGAAAAGTCGACAGTACGACAGATCATAGGTCGCTAATAGCGCAGTGTGTTAATTTCCTAATTTCTACTTTTCGAGTTGCATTTTGGCTTGTATAGCGTGTTGGCGCCTTCTTACTGACATCAATAAATACAAAAAGATGACTTAGTCGAAAGTCGACAAGACGGTATACAAGCCAAAATGCAAGTCAAAAAGTAGAAATTAAGAAAAAACGGGGGGCGCTATTATCGCGGTGTGTTATTTCTTAATTTCCTATTTTCGAGTTGATTTTGGCTTATATACCGTCTTGTCGCCTCACATTTTGTCGTAACTTCTACTTTTCGACTTTCGTGTTCTGAAGAGGCGAAAAGTAGAAATTATGAATGGTAGTTATAGGCTTCCATAGGTAAGAGCATGGTGATCCAAGATTTTGTATGAGGACTAGGACCCCCCCCCCCCCTTAGTGCCACCGAGTAATACTGGGCTGTGTGGATCATGCTAGAGTCGATTTGTGGTTTATATGACCCACAGTATATGTTTGACACTTGTTGAGCATTATGATTATGATGATAATGTTGGAATTCGCCTTGAAACCACGTGATGTTTTGCCATTTGCGAGGGGCCGCAAAATCACAAAACCATGACGCAAAGCCCGTCATTGCGTCCTTCTCACTTAGCCCCTGAATACAGATAAGACAATCATACCACGTAACAGAATGATTAAAATACAATTTTACTAATACAGAAAACGTCGCAAGGTTTCCTGAATAATGGTTAATAAAATCGAACAGAGAACATGCTGAATTCTATTTTTGCAGAGCAGCAGAAATCTAGAATTAAACAATGATTCTGTACACACACACACACACCACCACCACCACCACTACCACCAACATAAATGCAAAAACAAAAGAATCCGGAAATTGTTGATAGCGATTGAATCCGGTGAGATTTTTCTATCAGGGTGTATGGGTGTGTTTTTTATGTGCGTACTCTTCCGAAAAAGGGCTTTAATTACTGAAAAAGTCCCCTTGAATCGGAACCGATGTGTAGTAACTAGAAGCAAAACTAACGGAGTTTGGCATAAATTTCTGTTTGGCGGACAATGACCAGAATAAGTCCGTTTTCACAGTTGATTCAAGGGCACCGATGACATTTTCAGCCAAGGATCCCATGCAAGCTTAACCCGACTCTGATTTTCACTTCCAGATTGTTAGATTTCATAGCCGGATTAACATTTTCCGTAATATTCAGAATCACTTAATCTGTCTTTGTTTTATTTATTGCTCTACATGATTTTACGAAAATAAAAAAAAACAAAAAGCGGAAACTGGGACGCCCTTGTCAAAACGGATATAACATGTAGTCATAGATTGGTCATAACGACCATAGAAAGTCAAATTGATCGATTAAATATTTATTATTTAATAAGAATCCAAAGATATATATTCAGATAAATTATAGCCACTATAGTGTTTCATTTAGAATAGGTGATTTACTTAAAACCAGTAAACCACGATCACACTTGTCTCAAGTAACATTTCCAGCATTTTCTGAGGATAAATCATTGTGTGTTTCGGAAAAATTATCTAAAACTGAAAGTAATAGAAACGATGAGACGAAATTGTTGTTGAGTTGGGCAACTTTTAAACCTATTTCTAGGGATACTTTAAGTAGATGGACCAAATTGGTCTTGAAAGATTCTGGAATTGATTTGAAAATGTAACTTTATTTATGTTATTTCTATGACGGGTTAAAATGATCTCAGGCTTTAAAGATCTCGCTTAATCTCGGAGTGACGTAGGACAGTGAGGTAGAATTAAAAAATTAAACGAACTTACCTAGTGAAGTTTAATTGGGATTCTACCGAATCTGTCTGGAGTACGTAGAGATTATGCGCCCATCCCTTTATTAGTTTATACATGGTATATAATGGGTACCCACCCGATGATCCGGGTTCAAAGTTAACTGCTAAATATTCTATTCAAACTTATTTAACAATGGTTGTTTACGTCAGTAGTGACTTCAGCTATAATGTCATTTACTATTGTATGCAATACAGTTTTAAATAAATCCTTCTAAAAAACACGGGGGGTTGGATGGCTGAATGGTTAGCGTGTGCGCGCTGTATCATACAGTCTGTCATTGAGTCGACTGGCGTGGTTTCGAATCCCCGGTTGTACGTGGCAAGGAGTAGGGTCGCCTGTCCAACCTCGTGGGTTTTCTCCGGGTCCTCCGGTTTCCTCCCACTGCTAAAGACCCCTACGCGCAAGCGAATTATGTAAATAAAATTAAACCATATGTTAGTCCCGAAATGACCTAGTTTGTGTCGAGTGGACGTTAAACCCCATTTCTCTCTCTCTCTCTCTCTAAAAAACACAATCGGGTATTCCAATCTCTTTCAAACGTTCATATGTGGCAAAGAGGGAGGCCCCCTGTGTGAACTGTAATAATAGCATAATAACACGACTACAATATAATATACATTAAAATATCGTTGAACGTTTTTTATTACACTTTTCTGGGGAAAATGAAGTTTATTGGAAAGCAGTTATATTAATATCCCATAGAAAGATACTGACAAACGTTCTTTGTGTATATTAAAATTTCTGGAGAATATGAATTTCACGGAAAGTAGTAATATTCACAGTTGTTTTTCTAGGAATTTATAATGTTTAGAGAACGCACGCGAGTTACGCTACCCTAATCTTTTAAAGTGACTGTATCTCCATTGATTTTTTACATTTTAAAAATACTCCCAAATATATCAAGATGTTTTACATTATATTAAAAATTCCCCCAAATATATAATGATGCTTTACATTATATTAAAAAATACTCCCGGCTATATACCGATGCTTTGGCATTAAAAAGTTTGTCTTTACAATCGAATTTATAAATATGGTGGAAGAGGTTAGACGCATGTAACTTGGTCTCCCATGGCTCATATATAATAATATGTAGTGAAAATATTTGTATGTACTATAGAATGCGACCACATGGTTTCTACTATCCATACTAAATTCCATTATAAAAAACAGAAGCGGTATTTGATGAATATAGACAAATACATAGTGAATTGTTTATTGCCTTCTGAATGATTACGTCATCCTACACGGACTTTTTAACTCATAGATCTGTGTCGCCAACAAGTAAAATATGACATGAATCTGTTAAAGCCTACATAGAATGTTTCTGTGTTGATTTTCTTTTTATTGTGTGGCTCAAATTAACATGTGTCTTTATTGTCTATGGAAATCCTGGAGTATCGCAAAGTGCGGTTTTAGTGTCTGTTCTGTTTTTGATTTATACACATGTAATAAGAAATCAACGATACGGGAGATTGTTGTGAGTACAAAGTATCTTTATCTTTGTTATTGTGGTTCTGCAGCATGCGCGTTGAATGGAGAAATTGTTCAAGCGAGGATTGTTCATCATCACCACCTCCTCAAGCCCGTCTGAATCTGAATCTGGTGGAGTGAACAAAATTGTCACAACACCTGAAATGTGTGTGTGTGTGTGTGTGTGTGTGGGGGGGGGGGGTCAAAAAGACATTCACAACAGCTTTAGCGCCTGTATTTTGGTATCTAAACGTTCTTGAGATGATACTGTACTGAACAACCCAAAATAGATGAAAATGTAAAAAAATGACTTTGGAATTTGTAACTTTGGAAAAAATGAAGCAAATATACTATTCAGCGCTGCACAGCTACGTGGTAAGCACCACAAATTGGAAATCACGAAGTATCACAGAGATGCCTGAATATATACATTACAACCAACAATACTTCAAATTTTGAAAACCATCTTTGTTTTAGCATACCAAGTCCATATAATCAAACTATTTTATTTTTCTAATATCCTCCATTTATTTTTTAAAGGACTTCTTTTAGATTTTTTGTATGGAGTACCATCCCAAACATCATCTGGATTAAATATTTAGGGTCTACATGGAAATAGTAAATACGGCATCAAATTTCCTTGAAACTGCTTATGTGTTCAGCTATTTTTGCATTGAATACACTTTGTTAACATTTTTATGACTTCAGGGATGGATCCAGAGGGGCGGCTCCCCCCTCCCCCTGCTCAGCTTCATGATACAAATGTAAAACAACACTTTTTATGATAAAAGTGTAACGGTTGTGTGCTTTATCCTTTATCATCAGATGGTGGGATGGGATTGGCATTCAAAGCGTGGGATAATGATATAGACATGGGTGATATCACAATTAATGCTTTGTATCAATGAAATTGAATCAAAATGTGAAACTATTAATTCATAAAAAATATCAGTGTGTATGTATGTATGCCTACGTAATTTGGATAGGATGATGGCATCGTGCATTGTCGCCTGTTAAATTTCCTTAACGGGACCCGACAAACTCCCTCCTGTATCACTGTTACACCACAAAAATGGTTGAGTTCGAATTTTGTGAAAACGGGACCAAAACTACCGGACTAAATGGCCGCTCCCTGTACGCAGATAGTGTAAAAGTATGTAATACGATGGTTGTGGACCCTCTACGGAAGGTGTAGTACCATGGATCGTCTGTCAGACGTGGAAAGCGGATATACTCCAGAACCGGTCGCCACATCCAGCATATTGACCCATGCTCCCTTTTCAAGCTACATATCATGGAACAGTCCTTGGTCGTCTGGTTTGTGTCTTTATTTTCTGTTCTAACATTCCACGACAATGATAGCTTCACATTGTGATTGAATATACTGCATCTTAAAAATAAAATAAAACCAAGTACGAACAATCCAAACCATAAGACAGAATTCGAATCAGCAAATGGACTGCTCCTCGTGTACAAATTACACGACAAACAGTGGTAACAGGTGTCCGGAAGAGTAAGCTTACCCTGCCTGGCGCCACACCCGCCATAGCTGCATCCAAACTATTAGGCGAAATGTCGGTAAAATAGCGTGATTGGCTAATGAACTATCGGTATGCAAAATGCACGCGATGAACTGTGTTAACGATGTAGTAGATATTATCAGGGAGATAGCAATAGTATACGTGTCAATTAAATATATCTAGAATAATAGCCGAGAGAGACACGTTATATTTACCAATCAAATCAATATGACGGCCATAAAACTTTTTAAAGGTTTTAATAAGTTTAGTGCGCAAGTATCCCTGTAGTTGACGCTTAGATGACAAATGCCTCGATCTACTTAAAAAATCAGAATAAAAGGAACAAGCTGATATTGGAATGTTACTACTAATAAATGGAAAGTTAACAATCGGAAAGTCAAAGTCATCACGTTTATCGTACAATTTAACACTCAGTGTATGGCAATTGTCAAAATCGAGACGCAGATCCAAGTAGGAAGCGTAATTGTCACTGTCAGTGGTGTTTTTAATTTCGAGCTCATCAGGATATATGTATTCTACATAATCACTAAATTTAGGATTATTAAGTGATAAAACGTCATCGATATATCGATAAGTGAAATTAAAAAGTCTGACTGATCGTTTATTAGTTTTTACGAGCGTCTGTATGTAATCGGCTTCGTACGAATAGAGAAACAGATCAGCAAGCAAAGGTGCACAGTTGGTGCCCATGGGAATGCCAACCACTTGCTGATATATTTCCCTTCCAAATTCAACAAAGATGTTGTCAATTAAAAAATCCAACATCTGAATTATCTTGATGGCCGTGAATTTGTTTTAGGAATCACTGTGATTCTTAACGAAATATGTGGAATTGAAGTATGACTGATTAACAGGAACAACAAATACCAGAGTTTCCTGATTATAGTTTTATATTAACCTCTGCATACATAGGTTACAAGCATAGATTACATTACACTACTTAACATGAACACCTTTCTCTCAAAACAACTCCTGTAAAAGTCTAACCAGCGTGGCTAGACTCGGGGAAACCGCTACATCATATAGTCGTCTAAAGAACCCCGGTTATGTCTAACACTAAAGAGACTGAGAGAAATGGGGTTTAACGTCCACTAGACACAAACTAGGACATTTCGGGATTAACACATGGTTCAATTTTATTTCAATAATTCGCTTGCGCGTACGGGTCTTTAGCAGTTAGAGAAAACCGCATATGGATAAATAAATCTAGCATATGATATATGATATCAAATTGTATACTGCACTGTATATATCATAATAAAGTATATAGTTTCATGCATTTAGTGTAATTATATTCTTTTGTAAATAAATGGTACCGTTCTAACCGCGTCGCTAAGCGTATTGATGATCGAGTTCTTGAATTGTACATATAAGCTGGGTTTTTTTTTAAAAAAAATGTTTTATTTCTTTTAATTTCATAATATAGATGCATTCTATTATTAACATTAGTATAAAAAAAACACACAATGGGCATATCATGGTTTCTGAAGGACTGGCCACACATGCCTTATCAGTCTCACAGTTGTTCCCCTGGACATGTAAAAACTAGACCTAAAAGGGTTCTTTTCATGACATTAGTGTCAATAGTCTAGTAGCCTGACCGTTCTATCATCACAGCTTCTATTGTAACAAACTGTGACATTTCGAGACTATCATAAAGTATATATATATTTTTAACCTGCATGCCCTTAACGAACGTGAATAAAATCCACGAGGTTAATTATACATAGTCACGGGTGATGCTCGTTAATAATCACCCAGTAACACGTTGTAGGGAGAAGACGTCTACTTGTTATTTGAGAATCCTTAGCCTATTGACGTATTTATTTGTTAGCCAATGCCAGTGTCGTGATTTTGCTACGGTTCTGTAGGACCTACTTTAACACCTCTTGCTCGCCGTGGATCTAAAACATATATGCCCATACACGTATAATGAGCAGTCAAAATAACATTTTATGAATTTTGGTAATAATGTTTTTATTTAAATCTCAATACAGCGTAACAGGTGTGTATGCTATATAGATGCTGCGATGGTTCAGTTGGTAAGACTCTGGATCGCCAACTATGAAGTCTCGGAAAGCTTGACAGGGACAATGTCTAGTCGATCGGGGGTACAATTGGCGTACACGTAAAGGAACCCTTGCGAGTTCGAAATAAGAGTAGACCATAGCTCCACTGTCCGTAGCACACTGTATGGCTTATATGTATGTGCCCGTCTTCATTCGCCCAGTCGATGCAGGACGGTAGGACGGTAAACCCCTGTTTCATGTGCATAAAGTATACTAGATAAATGAACCGGCCCGTCAGGGAAATGGTGACTGGACAACAATTGTATTTTCAACTGTCGGAGGTGTTTTGCGTGCACGCTAAGATAGACTCGGGACCTCGGGTTTGTATCTTCTCATCCTAACGACTAGGTCTTTCGTAAATCCCGAGACCTTCATGAAAGCGAACGAACGCCCTAGTCAATGGGCTACCGAGTCTCTTTATTAGATAAATATAATAACTAGCAAACTAGGGTCCATGTACTCTAAGATCCCCATTACATACTTTTATACTATTTGCGTACAGGGGGTTTGGGTGGTCTAGTGGCTTAGGTCTCTCATGTACGTAACAAGGAGTAGGATCGCCTTCCAACCTCGTCGGTTTTCTCCGGGTCCCCCGATTTCCTCCCACTGCTAAAGAACCCTACGTCCATGCGATTGAGTGAAATGAAATTGAACCATATCTTAGTCATTAAGTGACCTAGTTTGTGTGTGTGTGTGTCTGGGTGTGTGTGTCCCTCTCTCTCTATCTCTCTCGCCCTCCTTGCGTACAGTGATCGGTCATTTGATCGGACAGGTTCTTATGGGGTAATTACAATTAGGGGCCATCACGAAGTTACGGTCCAATATATCGATGGGATATAAACGTACACATGTATTTTAAGTTTAACCAAAATCTGTCAAAAAAAAGTTTTGACGTTAAATACCCCCCCGCCCCCACGCTCATTTGATACATTTCAAATTTGTTCTTTTTTCAAGGTATGTAACACAAATGTGCAAGAAAATGATTTACATAATCATATTTACATTTTTTGTATGGTGACTTAATGTATGCAAGGTTGATTTCCGCTCATGTCGTCATAATATTCCGGCTCGAGAGAAATGTTTTTGGAAAAACATTTTGCAAGATTTGTATTTGGAGATTTGTATTTAGAAATTTGTTGTACCAGATTTCTTTTTCGATGTATTTCTCTGATGAAATGTAAATATAGGCTAATTTTTGATTTTCTAAAATAAATTTTATCTTTATATTGAAATACAATTAAAATACATTTTACAAATCTGATATGACAAATGTCTGATTTGACAAGGGTCTGATTTGTAAAACAAATATTGATTTTAAGATGCAAATGTTAATTTTAGTGTACAAATGTCGAAATACGACAACAAATGAAGAAATAAGAATTAGGGACTATGAATTAAGAAATAAGGACTAAGAACACTGAATAAAGAGCTGTTTGGTCTTCCATTGTACGAGGAGTAGCCATATTGTCGGGCAGTTTTATGTCCGATTTTTACTAATGGTGATATATGTGAATAGTGCTTAAATTCGGATAAAAATTGGTACCTCTAGAGGGTTCACAAGCTAAAACGTGATTTGTGATACAATCGGGAATCATAATTGAAGAAGTTACCGACCGATATGTGCGAATAACATTTAAATCTGTATTTATATATACATGATATTACTATTATAATATAAATACATTTAAATCTGTATTTATACATAATATAACTATTATAATATAAAGTCATTTTAATATTAATTTTAAATATAATTGTAGTCATTTAAGAGATTTTTAATAGCTGAATGCCTGAAAATGATATAAATCGTATATGGCCCAATCAAGTCGGTACCATCTTTAATCTTAGCTTTAATCCTTTAATTGGTTTATTTCCAATCCTAATTCGAATCCAGAAGATTATCTGCCGTTGATTCCGTATTCTTAAATGTTTATTAATCAATTTGAGTACGAAAATTTACACCCTGTTAATCCAAAATGCTTAATAGTATTTTGACATCCTCTCAGCTAATGGAAAATCGAACACGTCTCAACCGATGTTTTAAGCTGTATAACTTTGTGCATTATTTAATGATAAACTTGTTCGTTTATACAGCCCATCCAAACCTGCTGTGAAGGAGCGGGTACACCCCCTCCCTTTAGTGGTGGTGATGAGCAAGGGGCGAAATGTGTGTGTGTGTGTGTGTGTGTGTGACGGGGACAGGGACGCGGACGGGAACGGGGGGGGGGTTATTAAAACTGTTTTTTAAGACATAGAGTTAACTCTCCTTTACTGACACGGAGGGAAATTGAAATGGGGTTTAACACCCTACTGTTCTGCTTTGAGGGAATTTTGCCCAGACAGCTCTGCTTAATCCTACTATTATATCGAATTCTAATTGCCAAGGAAATGAAATGAAATGAAGTTTAATGCCCTACTGGTCTGCTCCGAATATCGAATTCCAACTAGCAAGGGATCTTTTACGTGCACGCCATTGTGTACACAGGAGTTCGGTTTTCGTGTCATCCGAACGACTAGATATTCTTCTTGGTATTACATCACTGACAAGGGATTCACCTATTAAAAATCGCTATATTACATTATACACGTATAAAACAGTCTGCGATATCCAAGCCTTTTTAAATTCAGACTTTTAAATTATATATAAATGTACATATGACATGCGTTATGATATAATGCATTTACTTGATATTTATTCCTTGGTTGCCTATGCTATGTCACTCATGTCCTCGTGTTTGTCTTTCTCATATCCACTAGTTTGTCTGGGATGTCCTTATGTT